GGGGGGGGGGGGAGAGAGAGGAGCGAAAGCAAAAAAATGTCGGTTTGGAGTCGAACACACACACACACACACACACACACATGCACACATGCAGGGGCTGCAAGACGTAGTCGTCGTCGTCGTCGTGTCTGTGCCCTGCTAGTCGAAAGGTCGGGGCTTGACGGCTTTGTATCCGCATAATTTGCAGGTCAATGTGGTTTGTCAAGCCGCTCTTCTTCACGCAGTACCAACGCCCTGACCGCGCTGCCATTCCGGCGAGTCCGACTGGATTCCTTTTGTTCTCCCAAGCCAATAAAATGGGCCAACTTAGGCGCTCTCTCCCTCTCTCTCTCTCTCTCTCTCTCTCTCTCTCTCTCTCTCTCTCTCTCTCTCTCTCTCTCTCTCTCTCTCTCTCTCTCTCTCTCTCTCTCCCATAAGAAGCAAAAGGATCGTAATTAGATGGAAATCGAGACCTGACCCTGTGGAGGCGTCAAGGGTGGATCGAGGCGCATAAAGCGCAGGGTGCCCGAAGCAAGAGCAGATGCTGGCACAATGTTCAACTCACTCACACAGACATTCAATAGGATAGCGCCGGACCATCAGACCGTAAACCACCAAAGGTACAAAGCACAAGAACAAAGCACAGCAAGATTCGACACAAGGCACAGATCAGGATCTGGGCCCTCCCGACAGGCCTGGGCTGGCCTGCCGATTGGGTCTGGGCCTTTCTTTCGTTGCGGTTATCTATGGTTAACATATAAATTAAATCCATTCCTCATCGTCCTCGAAATCACCCTCGTTCTCCTTGTCCAAGGCCAATGCCGTGCGACGAGTGGCCAAAGCTCGCTGCAGTGCTGAGACCATCTGCAAGCCCAGCAACACCACGGAATTTGACTGAGAATACGGCTGACCACGACCCCACACACCCTGCCCTTGTCCCGAATAAACGCATCAGCGGTATTTAAAACACGTACTGTACAGGGCTGCGCGACGCGTGGCGAGTCAACAGGCTGCTCGGACAAAATGGGTCGCAGCTTGACTTGAGAGAGAACGGCTGGGGACAGAAGACCCGAAGGCCCGGTGGCCGGGACGGCCTCACGGCTGCTCTGCGGCGTGGATAGCAGCGCTGGTGGCGTGGGCGGTCGTGGAGCAGGGGGTGGCACCAGCCCCGCCGCTGTTGCCTGTGTCTTCACCTGGTGGACACCATCAGCCCGAGGTGGTGGTGGCGGCGGCGAGGCCGCACAAGGAGAAAGCACGGGGGGTGGTGGCGGCATGCTCCAGGCGTCATCACCCAGCTCCTCAAACTCCTCAAGGGCTTTTGTGGCGGTGGGCGCCAGTTGCATGGGTGACGCGGCAAAGGCCGGCGGGGGCGGCGCCAAACACTCTGAGACATCTTCATCTGTTGCCGCCAATTCTGACGTTCCCGCAAGTGGGGGAGGTGGTATCACAGCAGCACATCTTGAAGCTACGCCATCAGTCTCTTGATCAGGCGCCGGGTGGGTCAAGACAGAATGTGACTGCAAAGCCTCGGTCGTGGTCGGGCCGGTGACGCTAAGCCATGGTGGCACATCATCCCGACGTGAGCCGTCAATGTCAGTACGCTGAAAGAGGGCGACGTGAGCTTATCCTGGCCCAGGGCTACCGCACCTGCTACCGTGCGCCAGAGTGGCAGTTTTACGTGCAGGGCTACTTGCGGCTGTCAGGGACTGATTTTGACGTTTCAAGATGGCCTCGGCCGCAGCAGCTGCCACCCGCACCACCTGCGCCACGAAGGAATGAGGTGCTTTGCGACTAGACTCGAAACAAGTCAAAGACTGAGTTGCACGGCAGGTTTTACCTTGCCCGCCTCTGTGCGCACGAGGTAGCTTCCAGGATAGTCTTCAGGCAACGCACGCTGTCGTACACCTGGAGAGCGAGAAGTGCAGTGTTAGGGAAGACCATTCAGGGCTGCCACACCAGTCAGGGTTGCGGTGACAGAGCTGCTGCGGCCGCACCCGTCAGCACGTTGAGGTAGGAGGTACCAGTGCTGTCCTCCAGGGCACGCCACTCGCGAAGAATTTGTGGAGCAAGATTACTCAAGCCATGGCTCGACGCCCGTCTGCAGATCCAGGCACCGCAGCAAAGTGAGATCCCACTGGCTGGCAAAGCCAAGTATCTTGCCGGCGTCCATTGGGAGTGGGGCCAAGATACCAACCGCTTGGGCATGGGCGAGCCAGTGCTAGGATTTCGGGAAGGCAGGGGTGGTGGCTAGCGGTGGTCATTCGTTAATTGAGGATTGAGAGGTAGAGAAGAAGACGGAGAGGCAGTGAAGCTCTGGTCCAGACCTGCAGTCTAGGCTGCGCCCCACGCACGAACCCCTCACCTGTGGCATACTGCGACGAGCGCGGCACCGATGCAGCTCAGGTGCCGTCACGGCCGATGTAAGGCGCAAGCAGCCTGGTTCCCCGGCCTCGCTCGTGTACTTGAGATCATGGGTCTATAGAGCATGTTCAGCCACTGAGACCGAGCCCCGGCGCGTGCTCTGGGGATTTGTCCTCCTCGTTTGTACGCTTTGCATGTCAAGCTACCTGGTAGTATCTCAGAAGCGAAGCGAGTCGTGGATGCCACTCGGCGCCCACGCTATATCCGGGGTTGCCGGCGCGGTCGTGTGCCGTCTCGATGCGAAAATTGTATACGGTGCCACACCACCTGAGGCACCACGGCCTGGGCGTGAGGCATGGGGGCCGACTGGTGGAATGCAATGCAATGTTGTTGCGGGAAATGGGCAATGAACGATGCCAGCGCAGGATATCGTACAAGACCGAGAGAACATAGAATCGAGTTTGTTCGCTGGGGCGCAAGAGGTAGCGACCATTGCCGGCGTCGTTGGCAAGTTCCAGAAGGAGGTTGCGTGCCTTGAAGGAGCAAAATGAGTGACGCGGTCCAGCAAGAGAGCATCACTGAAAGAGGACAGAGGATGGGCACCGTAACGGATCCCAACGTACCTCTGAGCGCGTGACAATGTGAAAACCGGGCATGGCGGGCGCAGTCTCCTTGACGGGATACAGGGCAATCTCCTCAAACTGTGCCGAAGCAAGATGAAGGCAGAAGCGCCGGATTAGACGAGACGAAAACTTGAGGTGTTCCAAGCTGAAAGGACCCTTTGACGACCAGGTGCGAGACGTGTGACGAGAGGAACGAACATAAAGGTCCTCGAGCCGATCAACCAGACTGAGCTGCAAGCCTGTAAATGCGGCAAACGGGACAACACCATTGGGCAGCATGGCCCTGATGATTGGCAGGCCACCGATGCACACCCAAAGTAAAACCCGGCATATTGAGCTGTGTTGCGGTCAAGGACAGATAGGCAAGCACATAAAGCACTTGGGAGGAGGGTTGGCACCCTCGCCATTGGCGTACCCATTCTGTTTGAGAGCACGAACGAGGTCGGCAATCGTGGTCCACCCCGGTGCCATCTATACCAGACACCAGGGCATGACTTTGATGAGGCAAGAGCGAGTGCAGCGTCGATGACGGGGTTGAATAGACATGATCGCGAAGAGCCAAGAGCGAAAAGCCAGGGACCGAGTCGGCGACCTCGATATATTCAACTTTGGCTTCGGGGGCGCGTCGAACGAGGAGAGCGCGGGTTTTGGACGTGCTGGCGCCTTTTGATTTTGTTGTATGGGCACGAGCCGGTGACGAGATGGGCAACGATGCTGCTGTTGCTCCTTTTTCCGCAGCCGCTGGTGTCGGCTCCACGGGCAAAGCGGCCAAGGACGCCAGCATCCCAGCCGAGGCTGGATTGAACCGCAACGCCATGATGCGACGCAGAAGGGGTGCTGACAAGTGTGATTTCAAATTATGGCGGTAAAATTCAACATCACGGTCATGGACCGCGTTGTAAACCGAGAATTGTAGAATTGACCAGCTCCCGTCCGAATCTGACTGGAGAATGGCAGCGCCATCACGTCCGGCCGGCCAGCCAAGCGCAAACGCGGCGTTGGACACTCAACCAACAGGCATATCGTTTCGAAACCCGACCAAGCCCCAGCTCCAGCGCCAAATCCCCACCGCCCTTGCCCAATGAATACGGGTCTGCTCTTATACCAGCCATTCAATCGCGTGACTTGTGTGTGTGTGTGTGTGTCTCTCTCTCTCTCTCTCTCTCTCTCTCTCTCTCTCTCTCTCTCTCTCTCTCTCTCTCTCTCAAACTCTCTCAAACTCTCTCAAACTCTCTCAAACTCTCTCAAACTCTCTCAAACTCTCTCTCTCTCTCTCTCTCTCAAACTCTCTCTCTCTCAAACTCTCTCTCTCTCAAACTCTCTCTCTCTCTCTCTCTCTCAAACTCTCTCTCAAACTCTCTCTCTCTCTCTGTTTTATTGAAATCACAGAGAGTGAATTGAGAGGTTTGTTGTCGTCGTCGTCGTCGTCGTCGTCGTCGTCGTCGTTCTGCTTCTGGGGGCTGGACTGATGCGGATGTTGTGGGCATGGGGGATGCGTGCTCGTCATGTGCAATGTATTGTGAATGCAGGATTGATTGACTTTTGATTTTCGAGGGCTGATCAGACGTGACTGCCGGCTGCTCGTGGTTTCGCGCCCCGGCAGCGTTACATTGGCAAATCCACGACACTGTAGCTCGCCTCGCCATGATCAACTTTACCATGGAGGGCATCTCTGCCTTTGGGGGCCTCTTTGCGGCCCTGATGGCCATGCGCCTCCTCCTTGAGCGCGTCAAGGAACAGTTCCCACCGGGGGTTCATCTCAGAAG